TTGCTTTTCTTAGTCAACAAGTTGGCTTAATTATTGCATGCCTTTTTTACCTGCTGTTCCACTTGTGCTGTAACACCGTAAATGTCCTCGCTGTGGTACTAAAAGAGGAATTCAGATTATAAAACTCTTTAAACCGTGGAGATAAGTTAGTGCCATTTTTCTTCACTTCCTCACTGCCATCTTTCCTCCGCCCCTTTATTCCCTCCAACCTTCCCTTTCTGTACCGTGGAACATAATGGCAGCAGCTTCTCAAATTGGTTTCTTTCATCGAAACAAGTTTTAAGAGGAAACGGACCGACAGGACAGGTTGTCCCTCAGCAGAAGACCCCCCCTCGCCCCCTCGCCCCCTCGCCCCCCCCCCCCTGTCTCTCTGACAGCTGATCAAAAGGAGAAAATGGGTCAGGCTTCTGTTCTTCTGTCCTTAATTACACAACAGTCTTTAAACAAAGCAACATCTGCCCAAGTAGCCGTCCTGCTCCTCCTCCCCACCTCTTCTTCACCGTCTCCTGCACCTTCTTTCCTGCTATTAGTGCATTTGGTAACATGTACAATTTAGTAGGGACGATTTAGACAGTGTCCTATTGGCTCAAATCCAATGAATGCATTCTAAATAAGTGCTATTGAATAACCTCAAAGTGCACAGCAGGTGAGCTGAACATGTGAAGCTGTTACATTTTGCCCCAGGCTCGTTTACGATTCAATGTGCTGAGTTTCCAGCAATAAACAGGTCGTAAATGAATATTTACTTGCGTTTAAAGAAGCATTTCTCCCTTTAAATAGTACCGATTATTACTAAATGAATTCCTATAAATGATTATTGTATTGTAATTGGGAAATGCCGGACCAATCACATTAAGCAACAACTGAACGTCCGCAAAGTGCAGATTTTCACACAACGTTCATTTATTTTTAAATGTTATCAACAGTCTTGGAACTTGAATTTATTTTCTCACAGTGACAAACAAATACAGAAAATGGAGACTCTTGCACAGATTATAGAAACAAGGGCAACAGAAGGAGGGACCTGTTTGGTAAGATTAGTTTGGACCTGAGATCAGTGGTTCAGTCTGTAGGGGCTTGGACTTAGGGCCAAAGGGTTGCCGGTTCCCGTCCCAATCGGACTGAAGAAATACGCAGAGTGAACTGGTGCTGGAGAGGAGTTTAACTTCTTGAGTAAGGCACTGAACCTGCTGCTTTAGATCCCCAGCATATATAACGGTGTGTGTTTGAGTGGGTAACTGAATCAATAAAGGTTTATCTTTCTGTATTTCTTTTAAAAAAGTGCTGCCTCAGATCACACATTTGTTTAGCCTTGCAAAGTCAGCTGAGACCTAAAACCAAGAAATGAGTTCGCATTCGATAACTTCCTGGTCCCATCATCTCGAAGTCAATTGTGTTTTGAACGACCCTGAAATAAGGTCTGTGGTTAACACAAGCTGAAGAGATTTTTACATTTGGTTTTGGACATAAAATATATTTCTCACTGGTAAATGTCTGATACACGTCTTAAAAACAACGGTTGCTGGACTTCTCTCACGGCGAACATTAGCCACCGTTATCTTAGCGGTGGTGTAGTTTCTTTAACATTTCTTACATTAGCTGTCACTTCTGGAGGTTGCATTTAAAGAATTAAGTGGTGTTAATATGGAGATTATATCCATGTGTAGACCATCGGGACGTTCGGGACAAATCCCGATGGGCCGGTACTGAAGTGGGCCGGTTGGACGAGGTGGGCTGGTCGGATAAGTCACTAGCCCCCCCCCCCCCCTTGACAATTTACTAGCGGTATTTACTTGCGGTACCGAGGTGGGCCGGCGGTACCGAGGTGGGCCGGTCGAGAGTCCCGGGCTGATTTTTTGTCCCAGTCCGCCCCTGGGAAGAACCCATTGCTTTTTATCGAGGAAACCCTTGTGATGCACCCAACCCCCTACAATATACAGTTTCCCACCCCCCCTCAATGTATATACTCTCTTTTTAGACTCTTTTTATACTCACAAACAGTACTGTATATTTGTAGATCTGGTATGTCATAAATGTCTAGATGTAACAGTACTCAACTGTATGTCATGTATGTCATATATGTTATGATGAATTAAAATGGGGGACCCTGATGTAAACAAGACGAAAGTCTTTTTCTGGTCTGCATCTCCTTAACAATTGTGTGTATTGAGCTGTACTGTACTGTACCCATTCTGCAATCTGTTAATACCATTTTCAATCAATCAATCAATTACATTTTGGGTCGGCCTACAAAAACACCGCTGTTGCTGTCTTTCAGCAGGACTACGGAAAAACTACTGGCCTGATAACCCTGAGACTTGGTGAAAGGGTGTAACATGGGCAAAGGAAGATACTATTCCATTTTCGAGCATATGCGTTGACAGGGTGGACACAAGCATAGTTTTTCATTCATAGAAACAGCTTAATCTGAGGTCTGTACTCTCGGAGTTCCCTTACAGATGTCTTTTATCATCAGTCACCGTGAAAAGGAGGTATAACTGTTAGTAATTTAATATGAAATAAGTGTGTGTGTGTGTGTGTTTCTTTCTGGTTTTGTCTCGACTGTTGTTATGTTATGATGATGGATCAGAGGGAGAGAGAGACAGAGAGCGAGGCAGACAGAGTTATATAGCAGTCCTTTGTCCTTGGGAGTGTAATGAATTGTAAAGTGAACCAGCTACAGGCCATAATGCTCTTTCAATGCAGCTCCCACGCTCATCACTCCACCCAGAGACTGTCGATAATACACACACACACACACACACACACACACACACACACACACACACACACACACACACACACACACACACACACACACACACACACACACACACACACACACACACACACACACAACACACACACACACACACCAGCACATCATTTACACTGCATCCGTCTGCACCCAGCACTCTGAGCTGCACGGCTGCACACATCTGTCCTAACTGCACTCATTCACTGTTTTACTGCTCGTCTGTTTCGTGCTGCATTCAATGTCGATGCACAGGACGTCATATTATCGCATCACATTGCTTTAAATTGTGTAAAAACATATTGGGCTCATGCATGCAAAAGGCCCCACAACCTTCTTATACTAAAACACTCTATTTGTGTCTCTTTAGGGGCATCTTTTGTTGGTTTTTTAAATAATTTTGTGACTTTTTTGGGTTATATTGCATCCGTTGTCGATTTCCTTCTGGTTGTTTTGCCCCTTTTAATAACCATTGCATCTGTTTTGAATGGCTTTGTAGTTTCGATGGTCTTTTACAGTAGTTTTACTGCATGTCTGTCATGTGAGCTGCCTCTCAAACCATTTTTACACAACTTATATAGACAAACCTTTCAAAGCTTATAAAAACAGAAACGAGTTCCGAACATTTAAGACAGATATTCAATAACTTAACAACCACTCACGAATATCTACTAATTTCTCCTCCACAATGTGTGGAAATAAGACAGAACAAAACAAGGTGAGTTCTGATCCAAGATCTCTTTAATTCCGTATCAATACATTCTCCTTAAACTGCAACGATCCCATGAAAAAAACCTTAATAAATCTCTTAAATCATACTTTTACTCGTGCAGTATGGTATTTTCTAAATAAATGATGCTGTCATTTCATTTTACATCATTTGTATCCTGTCATATAGCATTAAGGTTGTGCTACTTTGACTCTTTAAGCGTATATGCTGTGGAAAATACCAGAAAGGATTTATATAACAAGTATTAAAACTTAAAAAATGATGGAGAGATGTTAGTATTCTGTGATGTGGCTGCTTTGCGAGGAATAATAAAAGCAACGTTATTTTGTCGTCCCCTTTACTTGCGTCATGTTATTTCCTGTCACCTTCCTTTATCTGAACAATCAGAGGCAGCAGGTGATGAGATGAGAGTTGAGATGAGATCAAATGTTAATGACGCCTGTGGGCAAACGTCTTCTCTGAGGAGAACCCCAGCATCCTCACTTTAATCCTTTCCACAATCAGAACAATATGAATATCTGCAAGATCACCCACTCTCCACAAAGACACGGTGCTGAATTCATTCATCAACCATTTCCCCTTAAGTAGGCAGGACCTTCGTTCAACATGACATTCAGCACTGGAGTAAGTACCATGTCTGTGTACACATTTTGAAGAGACAGAATAAAACAACCTCATGACACGGTGCATTTAGTGACCGTTCAGATACTTTCTGTGAGATCTCGTGGTCTTCATCAGCAGACTCAGATGACAGGGAGTTGTGGGTGTTAACAATGTCTTTTTCTGAGCACTTTGATCGTTTTAATTTAAGAAACAACTTGGCAAACTTGGTCTTGTGATGAAGATAGGAAATATATTGCTTACGGTGTCCAGCAGCATATAAAGTAACTGAAATTAGCTCCACATGTACCGGCTGCGATGCACACATCAATCACAATCCAGTAATGTATTATATGTGATTCTAAAAGGTGTCATTATACATAATGAGTATACTTCACTTTTTCTATTTTAAATATATTTTCATACTTTTTAACTTTTCAATGAGTGAGATTTTGAATGCATGTGTTTTACTTTCAAGTACTTTTAAAATGTAGTATTGCTACTTTTGCGTAACAACAAAATCGGAGTTCTTCTTCCATACTGCTTCAAGCATCCTTTAAATGCAAAAATGATTTGGTGTTCAAACCATAGACTGGTTCAAACCCCCCAGAGCAGCTCCACGCTCCACACCGGTCCATCTGATTGGTCGGCTGATCTGTCAGTCAGGCAGGTAACGCCCCTCCCTCTGACCCCGCCCCCCTCTCCCCCTCCCGCAGCAGGTTGGGTTGCGCGGTGTGCAAGGGGACCGTGGACAGCTCCCGTCTGAGCACCAGAGTAACGCAGGAGGAGGAGAGGCTGGATATGGGGGAACCAACGCACAGGCCCGTACGATCGAGATAATAACATTTTTTTTTTTTAAACAAATGTTCACCAACTGGGGGAAATACACACACACACCGAGCTGGAGAGGCCTTAGGAGGACGGGGAAACAACCGAGGAAGTGAAGATAAAGGGGGAATACGGCTACTGACCCATCCCGGAGCATCAGGGGAGAAGCAGCGAGAGAAAGGGGGAGAAGCAGGGAGAGAAAGGAGGGGAAGAAGGAGACTAATTCCGCTCGACCCGATGGACTGAGAGGACAGATGAATGAAGACTGCCTATACTAACGCCTATAGATGTCTGGCCAAGGACCTAGACGCCTATGCCATGAACACGGACATGACGATGGACGGCATCGGCAGCCTGCATGGCGGGGTGTCCGTGAGCTCCGTCCTCCCTGATGTGGAGCTGATGAGCGGCCACAGCCCGCACCACGGCCGCTCATCAGGGGGCCACGGGGCGGCGGCGGCAGCCCTGCGGATCCACCAGGACCTGGCCTCTCGCTCCGCCATGGTGTCCGGCATGGCCAGCATGCTGGACGGTAACGGGGACTACCGTCCGGAGCTGTCGCTGCCGCTGCACCACGCCATGAGCGTGCCCTGCGACACGTCCTCTCCCGGGATGGGGATGAGTGGGACATACACCACCTTAACCCCGCTGCAGCCGCTGCCCCCCATCTCCACCGTGTCCGACAAGTTCCACCATCACCACCATCAACACCACCAGCGGCTCTCCGGGAACGTGAGCGGGAGCTTCACCCTGATGCGGGACGACCGGGGGCTGCCGGGGATGAACAACCTGTACAGCCCCTACCACAAGGACCACATGTCCGGGATGGGTCAGAGCCTCTCCCCGGTGCCTCGGTAACGGCCTGGGCTCCATACACAACACCCAGCAGGGGCTTCACAACTACGGCATTACGACGCACGGAGGCCACGATAAGATGCTGAACTTCGAGGCGCACCACACCGCCTCCATGCTCAGAGGGGACCCCCACCAGCACCGAGGCCTCGGCGGCCCGACGGCCGGGATGATGCCGCACCTGAACGGGATGCACCACCCGGGGCACCCGGTCGTTTCCTCGGTTGGCCACCACCCCCACCCCCACCCCCACCTCCAGTCTCCATCCCATGGGCCCGTGTTGGTGTCCAGGGAAAGACCTCCCTCCTCCTCGGAGGTGCAGGGGGTGAACAGCTCGGGGCAGCTGGAGGAAATCAACACCAAGGAGGTGGCGCAGAGGATCACCGCGGAGCTGAAACGGTACAGCATCCCCCAGGCCATCTTCGCCCAGAGGGTGCTGTGCCGCTCCCAGGGGACCCTATCGGACCTCCTGAGGAACCCCAAACCCTGGAGTAAACTAAAGTCAGGCCGGGAGACCTTCCGGAGGATGTGGAAGTGGCTGCAGGAGCCCGAGTTCCAGAGGATGTCGGCGCTCAGACTGGCAGGTAAGAGGACAACAAACCGGGGCCATGCTGCTGGGTTGGTTTGCTTTGTGCGTCCGGACAACAGGAGGAATTCTAAATTAAATTCAAAATTATTTTATATTTTGCTGGCTTTGTTTTGGTGTTTCCTCGTGGCTCTTTTTTCCCTGTGCGCCCATATAGATGAATGGAATTTATTTAGAATCACTCGTGTTATGATTACCATTATTGATCAATAACAAAAAGGGATCGATAGGAAATGACAAGGTCACGGGATTTCCCTCCAACAGTCTCTGCGATGTGCAGCAGCCCAGATTTATCTTTCTCCTGCCCTGCATGTTGGAGGGAAAACACACTTTCAGCAGACTATGCATCAGCTTTAAATTGTACCCAAATGAATGCTTCAAATCAAAAGGCCCACTAATACCGATCAAAGTGAAGGGAAAAAGGCAGTGCTTATATTTATATTAAAAAAGTGTGCATACTATTTGGAAACCAGTCAACCTTTACAGACAAAATCTCAGACATTTTAAAACAAGGAGTGAAAATATTTATTCTGAGTTATATTTAATGCCTTTTATTTTAGTTACTTGTTTCCTATAATCAGCTGCTGTTGTTCCTTTCATCATCTTGTTAAAGGCTTATTTAATCAGGAGGTCTGATAAAGCACGGCAGACAGAGTGTTTTGTGTGACTGTGAGGGGTTTGAAGTGATGCTCAAAAGAGGGTTTGAACATCAGTGGGTCTGGGGCCCCCTCTAGTGAGGGACCTGCTTTCTGTCCCAACATCAGCCTCTATTGTCTGTCAGCAGCAGCAGGCTGGATTCAATTGAGTTGTTCAGGAATATATTGAAACATGACTATAGTTTAATGCTTCTGTCGGGGTTAGTATATACCTGTGGTGAATCTATAGTAAGATTAGATCACATTAAATGCATTTAACAGACGGGTTTTTATGGTGAATTTACATTATGTAATCCAGAAATCACTAGGAACTATTGCATGTTGGAATTTCACTTTTGCAAAAGAAAGTGTATTAATTTATTGATAAATAAGACATATTGGGTATTCAAATATGTAAAACTAAATTGAGTCATATTGGCTATTTCAAAAACCAACCAAAACGTATATGCTACAGTAAATGCTCTTTGTTGGTTTTAAGCTAAAACATGTGTAATAATTATAATAAATTAAGAGTCCCATTTAACATATAAAGTATGTTTTGTAGATCAACTAAATATAAAAGTGAAAAATAACTGAAGGGTTTCACATTTTCCTTATAATTGTAAAATGTGTTTTTAAAGCAGTTTTTAGTGTAAAATCGGTCAAATAAAAAACATGAATTCAGTTCAATTTGTTTTGTTTTTTGCTGTCTTCCTTTGCGTTTTACAGGTATAAATAAACACATAGGTTCAAATACATTTTGTATCACCTATCATAATGACAAACTCAATCCTAAAATAAAACAGGAGGGTAGATGCAGTGACAAAACCACTGTGAAAAGATTTTTAAAAAATAGTGTTGTGAATTACACGGAATATGTGAAATTGACTTAAAGTAAAAATGTTTGTTTTAGACATTTTAGAACCTGACTGAATGTTTCCTGTTAAAAATAATCAAAATGACAATTTCTCATTCGCCTAACCCTTAAAATAATCCATAACTAACACATGGAGATGTATTGTGTTCACCTTAAAGCGACAAATGTCATATTATGTCATACAATTCTAATACTTCTGGATTTTTGTTTGATGCCACCTTCACAAACACACAATTCAATGAAAGAATTCCAACAGTAGGATTTCTAACTCGTGCATTTCAGTCTCAAGAACTACTTTAAAGAGCTGCCAGGGGATATTTTAAAATATCATAGACTTTAAAATGATTTTGTAGCATTATCATACTTTTAGCTCCATTTGACTGGTTCATGCATTCAGAAAAACTTCAGTATTTAATCGCTGCATTCGCTATATAGTATTCTCAAGAGGTTTAATGTGCACACATCTCAATGCTCCTCATTTTGGGCCAAACATCTGTTTTAAAAACGATCATGTGTTCTTCACCAGATCATCACAGATTTGCATATTTATTTCAGATTTACATTTATTGGACTCTAAAGATACAAATACATAATGTACACATTATATGTATATATTTAATCTAGACTCAAATCTTACAGGTTTCACATTTGATTATTGCTATAGTGTGAAATGCTGGAATTTGAAAAGATGTAACATAAGAACATTTTAATATTGAAAAACAATGCATTTTATACATTTAGCTAAACAGAAGGGCTTTAACTCTCTTAAACCCAATTATCTATAATTAGATGACATGTTTAATTATCCTTATCATGAAGCTTAAAACAAAGCTGTTTTCTAATTTCATGGTTTTCATTTTCTGTTATTTTAGGAAAGTAGTGTTGCGTTTACTTAACCCTTAAATGCACGAGTGACTCTTCCATAAGTGGGTCAAAAAGGACCCGTATTAGAATAATATGTGATTTGATGCCATTTTGGTTATTTTGGTTAAGAAAAATCACTTGTATAATATTTAGTATTATATTTTGGTTCACACTAGAAATATTTTATATTGAATTTTTCACTATTTATGATTTTAGACTTTTTTTTTACATTTTGAAAAAAAACGTGTTTCCATAGAAAATGCATGCGGGTCATTTTTGACCCACTTATGGAAGCTTGGGGTAGAAATACAAAAACTAAAATTTCTTAAAATGTAAATGTATCATTTGAATGGCATGATATCCACAACATGTTTTTTGAGGAATAGCTGGAATATGAAATGATAAAAAAATGTAACTACAAGAAAACCACCTCACCGGGTCAAAAAGACCCACTTATGCATCTAAGGGTTAAGGGTCGATCTTTGGAATAAAACATACTTTATGTAACAAAAACATATGTGAAAATGAGAATATGTAGAAATATAAAATCTTAAATGCTGTCCAAATGTAATAATAACAATGTACATTTAGGTTATTTACTTATAAGACATTCAATAATGTATTATACTAAGCTTTGAGTACTTGCTTACTTTACACTTTATGAACTAATGCTCTTTATTTGTACTCAGAATAACTTTTACTAATAATGATAACACTTACATTATCTTCCTTATTTCCGTGAATTTAAACACTCAACGACACAAACAGCCATTTCTCTTGTGCAAATATAATATTCAAGAATTTATTATTGTAAAATATGTAAACAATATTTGTATCATTCATTTTTATAAACCGATATGATATGATAATATGACAGATGATCAAAGTGTTTGCAGTGTATTTATAGTGAGTTTTCGGAGATGTTATTTTATTATGAAGTTAACTTCCTGGTGTATTTTTTTATATTCGTTAGCTGCATCAGATTCCAATATTTCCTCTCAATATCTGCTCAGCATTCTCATATTAGCTGTGGTTTTATGTGGTGTAAATGTACCATAAAGTGTCCGAACAGTCTTTGAATAAACACTGCAAATCAGTGATGTATTCTTTTCATTTGATCCAATTAATGGAGATCCAAACTCAGCGACGACACCTGATTCCCAAAGCATTGATTGGTCTTTTGCATTTAATTAGCCCAGATTCTGCCAGTGGATTTGGTCCGGAGCAGACTCATATTTTTAAATGTGTGCTCATGCTAATGTGGAGGAGATTATCTCTGCAGGATGTGACTGTTATTTCATTAGGGGGTCCTCTGAGATCCAGGGCTATTTGCCGTTATATGGTAATAGAAAAGGACAGGAGGGACGGTGGATAGAGAGCAGGGGAGCGCTCAGATCACACGGGGTGTTGTGAAATGTCAGCGTGCTGAAACACTGAAACTCTGCTGTCTGATGGAGCTGTCTGTCGCTGGATGACACTGTTTACTCGTTTACAAAAGGCCCAATATCTACAAATCAAATCTGAAATCATTAGGATTGGGTACTCGTATTTATTTGTATATGTTGTACTCTATAGCCACTGTAACATATATATTTATACTATATTTTTAACTAATGTGCAATGCTATGTAAACATGCCGCTATAACAAAACGCCTTCTCAATTTCAGACCAATAAAGTAGTCGAATCTAATTTAAAATAATCTAGTCCCAATAAGCTAACTGGGTTTTGGTTACCAATAACCAATATCATTTTTGATAATTTCTTGCATTAAGGGATATACAACAACTCTCTTTTATGTATTTAATACTCAAATGTATTTGTATATGTTGTATTCTATGGACACTGTAACATATATATTTGTATGTTATATGTTTTTATTATATGTTTTACTTATGTGCAATGCTATGCTAACATGCTGCTAACACAAAACGCCATCTGAATTTCGGTCTAATCTAATTTAATATAATCTAGTCCCAATAGTTACAGAGGCTACCTAAGTTTTGGTTACGGATACACAAAATAATTGTGTTTATTTCTTGCATTAAGGAATACACAACAACTCTCTTTTCGCTTGTATTTAATAATTAAAAGAACTAGAAAGCGATGAACTTGCTGTATCTTCTTAAGCCACCAGTATGAGAAACATTTTCCTGATCAAAGCCCAGTTTTACATCGTAGAAGCTTACTGTGTGGAGCCTAGCTTTGCTTATCAAATGGAAATATTTGGAAATAGTCTGCACACTGAGGTCAAGCTTAGGTTCTAAAATGTCAGCAGCTTTATAGACATCTTACAAGTATATGAACAAAAGGGAACACAAGAAGCAAAGAAAAATATAACTCTTATTTGAAAAAGATCGACATAAAAAGTCAGTCTGTTGTGGTTTTCATTTTCTTTGTGTTGTAGATTGTTGAATTGAACTACTGTTTTGTTTTAACTCAATTTGAAAGGCAATAAGGCAAAGTTACCTACCTGCAATTTATGGATATTCGCCATTATAATAAAACGATTAATCCCATACACATTGTTTTTTCTGGGCATTTTTACAAAACAACATAAGGAGCAAAACATGCTTAGCCTAACTAAACACAAAAATACAGGAAGTATACCTGCAGTACACCAT